TAATGTATTTTAAATATTTTTTAGTAAAAACTTTCATAATAAAATAGCTCTCCAACAAAATAAGCCCTTAATGTTGCCTAAACGTGTACACAAGGTTTTTAAAATCAAACCGGTCATTGAACCATTTTCAGGTCCAGTTTTTGGTTTGATCGATTCAATTGGTGAACCGATGAACCGACCGATCCAAATAACAAGGGAAATCTGATGAGAGGGGCAGGTAATTTTGTAATTTAATTAAAATTAAGGGTTAAAAATCGGTATAAAAAAGGAATGATGAGGGTGAAATTGGAAAAAATAGAAAGAAAAGTGCATGAGAAATTGAACTGGTGGTTTTTCTGGTTCTATCGGTTCCATCGATTTCACCAGTTTAGATCGGTTTTTAACGGTTTTTGACCAATTTTGACTTGTTTTAACCTCAAATGGTTTTTTATATAAACCGAACCATTTTTATTATCGGGTATCGGTTCGACCGGTTTAATCGACTGATCCGGTCCGATTTTAAAAACCTTGCGTGTACATTGTAGCCTCAATCAAGGAAATCACAATAACTTACCGCAATCGTTAACAAAGGGCAAAAGCTCTTTTTAAAGCTCCAAATTTGCCCCAAAATAATATTTAAATCCTTAAATTTTAAAAAAATAAATAAGTCCTCAAATTTCATTAATGACACAAATAAACCATTCTCATTCATAGGTGTCCATACTTTTAAGGTGATATTAAACATGAAATACTGTTTAACTTGATTGTAAGAAAAACTTATATGCATTGATAGTGGTGTAGGTGAGTTTATTTATTTTATTTTTAATTTAGGGATTTAAATGCTATTTTAACTAAGTTTGAGGGATTTAAGAAAGATTTTTGCCATTACCAAAGTGTTGATGCTCAAAACGAAAGGCTCAATGGCTTAGAAGTTACTATAAGGATAAGAATAAGAGTTTTTCTACGCATACAGTTTAAGAGTTTTAAAAAAATAAAAAAATATATTATTTAATTAAACTTATTTATATAATAATATTATTAAAATTAATATTAATTTTTATATTTTTTATATAGGTTTATAATAAAAGGTACTTAAAAAACCTAAAACAATTTAAGTTGAATGCTAAAGTTTTGTCTTAAGTGGTGTAGGGTGTAGGGCCTACATTGCAGAAAATATAATGGCGAACAGTATTTTGACAACCATTTGTGAAGGCCCAGCCCGACATCATTACGCGGTGCTCGGTTCCGTGGCCAGAGGAAAACTCGTCTCGTTTGGATCAGGTCATCAGTCATCTCATTCACACCATCCCTAAAATTTCCACAACCCCGCGGAATTAATGTATGGATCAAGTTGAACTTATTGCCATCAGAGTACTTTTGTACATGCTGGCGGGTGCTGTAATTAAAGTGTTATAATTGTAGTTGTTGATTGTAATTATATTGTAATTATGATTTAAAGTTATTTTAATAGTTAATTATTTATTTTTTAAAAATATTATAAATAAAATATAATAAATTTTATTAATTATTAATTAAAATTTAAAAAATATTATATGATGTATAATTATTAAAATAGACAACATTTACTATTCGTTAATAATTTAAGGGTTTTAGGTTTCTTACAATGTATGTATGTATGTTTTGATTTTCACGAGAAAGCAACTCATAAAAAGGGAATAAGTTTTTAATTTTTTTATGAAATTTTCAAATAAATGAAAGATTAAGTTTAAATAAAATATTATAAATTATGGTATAATTAAATTAAATGGGATTATGTTTTAATGAGTAGTTTTATAATTATATTAAATATTATGTATTATTCGTAAAAACCATAATAAAAAAGTTCTAAAGTAAGACTTCAAACTTTACATATAAAATTATTTAGAATTTGTTGTAAATTTTCACGACTTTTGAAAAAAGTAATTTAGAAACATATCAAACACATATATATTTAAAAATGTTGTA